TAAGTTAAAGTTTCTCGATATATGAGAACAATATACTTATGATTTCGTATACATTAGTTATCTTGATCTGAGATCGATGTACAATCTAACTGTCTCTTGTAGATTAATTTATTAAAAATTCTTATAAAAAAATTAAAATTTAGCACTAACATTCTGCTACGGCTCTTGATGCCCTTCTATTATATTTGTTGAATTTATAGAGCCTTTACATTACTTATTAGTTTTAGAAACAATTTTCTGAATTTCTTATTTGAAAGTATATACCTTTGCTCCCCCCCCCTCCCTCCTCCCTTCCCGGCGTTCACACACCACACTCGCGCACGCATACGTCTTTATTCTGTCTAATGCTATATTCCGAAGAATAAAGAATAAAGAAAAGAAATGCTACATTCCGAAGAATAAAGAAACGATATAAAAGTATTATTTAAATCATATAGAGTTTTTTACAGGTGATACCAACATCAACGAGATTGTTGATCAGGACCATGATGAAAGTTCCTAAACTGGTCTGATGTTGGTAGGATGGGGTGGCAACAACGGAAGCACCATGACAGCAGCTTTATTAGCGAATAAGCTTAAATTATTGTGGGAGACAAAGGAAGGTTTGAAGACTGCGAACTGGTATGTCTTTCTGCGATATATTTATTTATTATACAAGATTGCCTACAATACTTTAATGGTGCATGATCAAGAGGGATCTTGCAAAAGATTATTATTGTTGAAGTATTATTGTGAAATGTAACAAGTCCTTTTTATACAAGATCTCAGACTTACCGTAACACTCGTTAATGGCAGATTCCTGAGATCATTTGAAGACGAAAATCTTAATGCCAAAATGTCGAGGCTGCTAGTTAGTTTTTGAACAGGAAAGATTTAAAGTTCACCAATCAGCTTGCCAAAATTTCGTGTACTTAGGGACATCGCATATCAAAAGAACCCTTCCACAACACTTTACTCAGCTCGATAGAAATAATAATACTTAACATATTTTTTACTTTATTTCTTTGTACACTGTTCACAAGATTGACGAATTTTGGAATGATAATAGTTTCTAAATTGTCATATGGAAATGTGATACGCATCAAACTGTCAAAGCATTCAGGTGAAACGTACTATTGACAAATGACGTTTTTCTTGTGATGAAAGAAAATCAATACAATCGGTATGAAGCATGGTCTACTGAATGAAAAAAGGTAAATATTTTGTTCATGATTCTTCAAATAAATAAATAAAAATATATTTCCAAATATGTTAGTATTTTCTTTTCTTACCGACTTTATCTTTCTTATTGACATTTGATGCAGTAGACCAGGCCTCGGAATTATTTCATCTTTTTAGCCGATTCTCGTGGTATACGCCTCCTTTCCTCTCTTCACCGCGCGCGCGGCAGCCGCTAGGGCCAGTGCCGCCGAGCGTTAAAAGCAGCGCTATCCGATTAATGTTAAAAAAATTT